CTCCGGTACCGGGAACCGAACTCACGACCTTGCGCTTGCCAGGCAGGCGCTTTGCCGCTGAGCTAAATCCCCAGGCCCAAAATAGAAATTTTAAATGGCAATGATTCTTGTAAAGATAAAAAACTCATATAGTTCTTCCAAATATACAATGAAAGTATATTTTTGAAAGATTGTTGCATTCTCATAATAAAGTTTGCTATTTATTGGAAAAAAGAGCATTTTTATCTATTTGTTTAGAAATATGGTACCTTCTCCTTTTTGAGTCATCGCCCTTTGTCATTAATGAAGTAGAAAGCCACTATTAAAATTTTAAAGTAATATTGTTTTTTCTTTAGTAGCACAAGATACAAGTATTCATTAAAACCTCAGTCTCTACACTGCAGAACACAGAGGTTCAATGAGTTACTGTTATTGTTACTATTCCAGGTCCATACCAAATTTTTAAATTTATCACTTCATAATATTAATGTGTGTTATTTTTGAAACAATTTCCAGACAACAAAAATATGCCACAGATATAAAACCGCATTCCGCACTGTAACAGTGGACAGGGGTAAAATTAACTCTCTACAGTATTTACCATGATCCTTTATCTATAGTTATGATTAATAGTTGATTGTTCAGAGGACAAATACAAAATGAGAAAGTACGTTTAAGGTGTAAAAACTGGTGGGTCAGTCACCTTGCTAGAAGCACTGAGTTACGGAAGGCCAGCAGTAGCAAGGAAGAACAATTCGATGACAAAGGAGAGAAAGCTCTCGAGAATTTTAATGAGGGTAAAAGGTCTAATAGTTCATTCCCATTACTTGCTACATTTCGCCTTGTTTTAGAGAGTTCACAAAGTGTAAGACAATAGTGCAAAATCTGTGATTTTTTATGCCTTGCTGCTTTCTGTTAGAAACCGTAACCTTGTGACAGTGATAAAGTACATAGTAAATAAGTTTTAGAGCTTTTTCTAGCCAACTATGTAGTGTCTTGGGGGTCAAATGTTAAACATAGTCAACTAGATTTTTTCTCCAAAAAAGAAATGCAGAAACTGGAGGTTACGGGGAAGCCAGGTTAAAAGCACATAACAATTACTAAAATAAAACCATTCCGAAAAGAATACATGTAGAAGTATTTCAACTAATTGTGCTGTGTTTAACAAAGATTAAGAGATCCAAAGCATTATAGAGATTTTCTAACGATTATTCATAAGTATGTGCTCGGTTTGATTCCCAAGGTTCACTTGTGTTGATTTTTTGAGATTGTAGAAGGTGTACTAGGTGGGGCATTTCAGTTATAATAATAGGAAAAAATATCATCCTGTTGAAGGTGGAAAGGGGAAGAAATCGTACAGCTTCTGTAAAGCTGCAGGAGCATCTTATGGGGCCAAATGGAAGGAATGGCTGGGCTCAATCAATCTTCAGAAACAAAGTGAACCAGGAAATGAATAGTTCCTGAGGTAGAACAGAAGAAATAAAGATAGGAAGAAAGGAGACAAGGAAAACTGTAATTTTAAAATTGTGCTTTTAAGAAAAACTCCAGCTTCAGGACACAGAAGTTACTCATGCCTTTTTCAAGGAAAGAATTTCAAAGGGTCTGAAGGACACAGGAAGACTATAACGGGTGCTGAGATCCTGCTTTTCACCTGTAAATGGTCCTTTCTGCTACGCACCTCCATCCTCAAAGAAGCAGTGTACTCAGCGGGCAACACATCTTCAAACTTAAAACACAAGCCAGTAATTTGCATGCTAATCTAGCTACCCAAATGGGTAAACTGATAGACAGGAGGAACGAACGTCCTTGACCTTAAAGATAAAGACAGCCCAAGACCACACAAATACCTCCACCTCATATCATCTTTCCTTGAGGGTCCACATTCTATTCTCTGTGTGCGTACTTCTCAAATCTGCCTAATAAACCTCTTCTTTCTTCTTACTAATGTCTCTTGAAAATTCTTTTTCTATGACAGAACTCAGAGATCATGACCTGCCCCAGGAGGAGGGTACAGTGAAGTCACCAACTCCTCCTTGGGGAATACCCTCAGATCCCAGTCAATGATAATTCCCACGTCAGTAACTAGATAAACTGTGCTCTTTCTCTGCTTTGTGTTTCAGACTTTTTGCTCCATTCTATTGTTTGCCTCCCCTCTGGCCTCCCTTTTCTTTTCATCATTCCCCCGCCCTAAGCCTTTTGCTACCACTCAAACTGCAAGAAAAAAGATGACAGTGTTCTGGTATTCAAGTGGACAAATAGACTAACTCATACAGACACTGAACGCTCTTTGTTACAGTCCTTTTGGAAGGGATTCCTATTGAACCCTCTCATGTCTTATCCCCAAGTACATTCCCCATAGTGTGGTCACAGTGAAAGAGCATGACCATGAATAGAGACTTACCCCCTCATTTAGAGAACATACCACACATAAAACTAGGATGCATAGTTTAAGAAAAATACTCGTTCATTTGTCCACTCAACAAATGCTGGACATACTATATCTTAGACACTGTTCTAAATACTGACTACGCAGAAAGTAAGACAATAGGGTTCATGAGTAAACTGATCTCACGTATCACAGAAATTACAGTAGTTTTATACAAAACAAGGCACTCTTCTACCTTGTTAATTAGAAATGAAAATAAGGATGGAAAAATCCTTTAGAAACAGAAGTAATTTCTTTAGCTCTTAAAGGCAGAAATAAATCCAGAAGGAAATTTAAGATCACTAGCCATGGTGTTTCTCTAAACACATCATAGATTTAGATCATTCTTAGAGGACAGGAAATTGTGAAGCCTCTATAAGAAGTATAAAACTTGGCTCAATGAATCATGGTTACATAAATATAAATATATCTGAGAGAGATGTGATCTACAGAATAGGTTTATGTAGGTCTACTACTCATTTATACAGTGCAAAACTTGTAGGAAATAATAGTATAGTGCAAAAATAACTGGATCTTTCTTTACATGAGTTCTGCTTGTTATGATGTGCCAGTACTAGATTATGCATTTTGGAGGGAGGTTGCTAATAGAATAAATGTGCCACATTGTTATTTCAAGAAATTTTATATCAAATTGACTGCTTTTAGCATATTTAAAGTTGTAATTTGAAATAATGGCTCATCCAGTACCACAATATAATGAAGATTTTAGCAAACAGTCTCTGTTTCCAGGACTCATGAAGAAGGCAGTTATAATTCTGTGCTCACCAAGGAACTAAGAAAGAAGCATCTAGAGGGTAGTATCCTTGGTCCACCTGTATAGCTAACTCTTTTCAAACCCCCTTTATTATTTTATCTAATTCCAAAATGTTAACTTGTCACTTAAACTCTGACATTTTATAAATATCTATAGTATAAGACTCACTATCTCTCCATTGTACTTTTTATTCCACCTTCAAACATTCTCTTCATGTGCACTACACTGTAGGTGCCTTGAGGGAAAACCCCATGCGATTTCTTTTTTGGAAGGGAATCAAACTCAGGACCTCGTGCTTGCCAGATAGGTGCTTTGAAAATATTTTCTCACTTTGTTAAGCACTACAAACCATACAAACTATTTCATTTCCCTTTTTCATAATTTAGCATTCTCCATTGGTTTTCCATTTTTCAGAATGTCTTTGAGTTTCTTACATATTATAGGATTCCTTCTAAATATTCCCATTAAAAACCAGCAGTACCCTCCCCAAATGTATTAACACACTCTGTATTGCTTGATAAACCATCTATTTTTGATAAACAAATGTTTCACAATTAAAAACCTTAATAACAAAAAATGTTTAGCACCTATGGAACTGAGCTCTATCAACCAAGCAACAGGATAAGAAAAAGCCATCATTCACCAAACTAATCCTAATATAAGTGTCATTTTAAAATTAGAAATCTTGAGTCAAATAGTGTTACTCTTTTCAAGTGGTCCCTTTTCTGGCAACTTCTAATTCTAGATGTATTTTTCACAGTCAAAATATTCAAGTAGCATGTTTTACTACTTTTCTAAGTTAAGAAATATTAAGATTATCACAGCTTTTTAAATAATTTACTCTTCCTTAACTACGCAATCAGCACTTGGAACACTTCATCCTGACTTATACAAGCCAGTGCTCTTTCAAAAATATTAAAATATTTTTTTTTTTTTTGGTTTTTCTCCGGTACCGGGAACCAAACTCACAACCTTGCGCTTGCCAGGCAGGTGCTTTTGCCGCTGAGCTAAATCCCCAGCCCCTAAAATATTATTGAACAAACATCACATACATCCCAGGCATGCTACTGTTTCAAATGCAACTAAAAATTCTTATACAAAGGTAAATTCCTAAAGAGCAAAGACCACATCCTAATCTCATTTTGTCACAGTCACTTTGAAGTTTACATTTTCCTATACCTGTTGCAGTAAAGCAAAACTTGAACGGCAGACATTCCCATTAACAGCCTACTACCAGCCTAAGGTTAAATGAGAGCACAGAGATGTTTCCCGAAGGACTGGCTGTCTCAGAGCAATTTCATACACACACATGCTCACTCATGTGTGTATATTTATCTGCCTATGTAAGTACATGTGATTTCCCTTGAGTCTATGTTAAATCGTTTATAGGATTTCTAAAAAGATCCCCTATTGATAACAGTCTCCTGCCGCTAATATGATATAGTCTAAAAAGTCCAAAGTGACAAAAATAGGGTAAAAAAAGGAGATGAATGGCTAAAGTCACCAGTCCTTATCTGACTGATCTGATTCTCTTAGCCCTCCGCCTGTCAGAAAAAGACAGACTTGCAAGATATCATGTTCTGCACCCTGACAGAGCAGTTAACCAACCTCACAGGGACAACAACTGCTGTGCACTTGGGTGGGGAGTCAGTCATCATGCCACTGTCATACTTGTTCTCTTCCTGGGTATTCTCATTGTCTGCCTATAGTCACAGGACCTGGCAGGCAGAAGAACATAGCTACTAGGTTCAAGCAAGCAGGTCTCCCTTTCCGCCTCACGGCACCACCGCCAACTCACAAAGAAAGGAGAAAGAGCTGTACCCGCAGGAAGGAGAGATCCCGGTTGTGCTCTATGCTGGTAATCTCCAGGTTGCCCATGACGACCTCACAGTTCTCATAGTATTTCCGTAAGGCGCGGTACTGCTGCTCCAGGTCCGAGAGAGAGCTCAGTTTATTCTCCGTTCCTGCACACACTGTAAAGACAAAAGATACACATGCAGTTACAGGACCTTTACATGGCAAGCACAATGAAGGCAACTTCCTTAAAAGTACTTCACAACAGTCTACCTCAATCCCCTAAATTAAAATATCTCAAACGTTCCTTAAAGTGATAGGTTCCCATGCTGATAAATGCCTTCGCTTTTATTCCTAAATTGCACATGTTAGCCAGAGGGTAAGAGGGAATGGGTTCCGCAGAAATACTGTAGGTTTATTTTTTAAGCAGATAAACTTAAACTATGAACTATGAACTATGAACTAAGCAGCTTCACTTCACCCATTACATCTAATTGCTGTGAACATATAAAGCATATAAAGCCTTTTGCTTTCATTTTAACATTGTTTTCTTCAGGATTTGTAATCCATTACTGTTTACTAGTAGAGTAATTGGGTAGATATAAATAAATCATGATCAAGCAATAACAGTTAACAATTTTGTTTTAAAAACTATTTATTGTCTTATAAAATAAGCTGTTTTGACTAAATTTTTGACATAGTTATATGTCTGTAAGACCTAAACAATTCTCTTTTCCAAAATATGTTAAACAATTTAGATTGAAATAGTTCCCATATACTACAAACAAAATAGGTAACAACATCTAACATATTTATATCAGCTAGATCATCCTGGTGTATATTTGTGAGTGTTATGAAGTATAATGGACTTATAATAAATTCTCTCAGTCTCCCCATCTTTGATAGGGTTAGTCTTCAATCTACTGTGAGCATGTCTGTGTACACATCTATTGTATTTTATTTTGTGTGTGTTGATATTTTTGTCTCCTAGAGCCAGAATTTTGGTTATTTCTTTTAGTTATTTCTTTCCTTTCAAAGTTCTCATGGTTTGTATACCTACATGAATACAATCTTTATTGTGTAATATACTGATACTAATCTTTGACTAATAAAATTATGTCACAACTCAGTATGGAAAGTTAAAGAAAACAGGTTGTAGATTTTAAGTTATATAATATACACTGAATTTAAGACAACATACAAAGGGCAAAAAGCTTCAGAAACCATCTACCAAAATAAGCATTTTCTCTTTCCAAACTGATTACCTTAGGTATTTGATATAGCACCATAAAGCTAACACAGTGACTATATTTGGAAAATGTCTTCGTAAATGTAATCAAGTTAAGATGAGGTCATTAAGGTGAGGCTTAATCCAATATCACAGAACTCTTTCCAAGGAGAGAAAGATAACATATGCATGCAAAAACACACAGGGGAAAGCCCTACAGCTAAAAAGCAGAATTTAGTGGTGCTACTGCAAGCCAAGGAATGCCAAGGAGTGACAGCCACCACCAGAAATCAGGAAAAGCCAAGAAATCTGCTGAGAGCCTCAGAGACAGTGTGATGCTGCTGATAGCTTGTTTTTGGATTTCCAACTGCCAGAGCTGTAATGGAACACACTGTTGTTGCTTTAAGCCTCTGAGTTGTGATAATTTAAGATAGTAGCTCTATGAAAATAATATATAGTCTTTAGATGAGCTTTCTCTGAAATTCCACATTTAAATAAATGTTAAATATTAATTCCTCTCTCTCTCTAGAGTCCTATCAGCTTATTACTTCCTATCTACCCCCCTGTTCTCTCTGACTGCCAAGTCTCTCAGCGATCATATAAAAACTCATTTGTTATCTTTCGAAAGCAGTTTTGGGCAGTAATAATGATAGGTACCCAGGCAAAGACTGCTACAATCTAATACGCATTCTCCTCTTCCTTGATAGTGAGAGACTACACAGTTTTCACCTGGGCATATGGCTGGAGTGTTGACTTGATCAGTTTGGGGACTGATGGAGCACATTTCTGGTTGCATCTGGGTGGGTCAAGGAGGTGTGGTGCAACCTTGGAGTCTCTGTCTGGTCCCTGGCCCCTTTCTCTCTGGCACTGTTCCCCTCGCTCTGCCTCCTAGGCACCATGAACCTAAGCAGCTTCACTTCACCCATTACATTAATGTTTCTGCCTTGGAGCCAGTTGAACATGGACAGACTCCCCTTAAAATGAAAGCCAAAATAAACCTCACTTCCTTTCAAAGTTGTGAGTGTTGCTTATTGTGTCTAGCAAAAGGAAAGCTGACAAGTACAGTCACCTGAAATAAAGATTACACTTTTTTTCCTGTCCTTGGGAGTTCGTTTGGCCAAAGGACTAAACTCTAACATGTTGTATGACATTTTTCCAGAACACTATTTAGAGTATAGTTGCCTAACTTTGCCTCCTCCATGCTTTCATCCAGCCTACTGCCAGGAATGGCGATATGACAGCTAAAAGATGAACCAGTATGGTGGTCCTTAGTGAAGAGGGCACATGGTAAAGATGGGTGAGAAATGAGCTAAAAGTAGCAAGGTTTTCAGTTGCTGTGTTCCATTGTCCTATTATCATTAACAGCAAGATGATAGTGATGTTGGTCCTATTTGCTAAAATACTACACATAGCACAAATGATCATTAAATTCAATTTAAGTTATATGCTCTGCATCCTAAGTAATTTTAATTATCAGGCTGGTTTTGTGGGGTTGTTCAATTCATAATAAAACTACAAAATCATGTGTCATCATCTGAACATGTTATTGGTTCTGTAGAAGTTTATTTATTAAAATGAACAATTAAGAGAAAACAGACCAGGTATGCTGGTGCACACCTGTAATCCCAGCACTTGGGAGGCTGAGGCAGGAAGATTGCCATGAGTTCGAGGCCTGCCTGGGCTATATAGCGAGTTCAAGGCCAGCCTGAACTACAGAGTGAGACCATGCCTCAAAACAAAGAAACAACAACAACAACAAAACCAAAAAATAAATTTCCTTTGAGAACTGCAATGATACTCAACACAGGCAGGAGGGCATGAAACAATGGATTCAAGAACGTATTCCTTATCAGTCAAGATCTGGCTCTAGGAATTGTTTTCATTATAGATTGTAGGCTCACGTGGAAAAAGATTTAGTCCGGATCTTTCTTTTTCTGTTCTCAGGAAGTTTTTTTTAAAAGCTCTTTATAAATCTTTTGAGAAAAGGCATTATTGTATAGTTTTATGAAATAGAGGTTCTAATTATTAAATTCCAAAGTGGACAAACTTCTACTTTAATGCATCCACCCCTGAGAATAAATAAGCACAGTGTTTATAATCCATAAACTGTATGCACTAGTCTGAAAGCATATCCAATGCCACAACTTTTGTACAACTTATATTGTACCAGCTTCTTTGATTTGAAAGTAAAACCCACACTTTATTTTTTGTGGTTTTTTTTTTTTCCGGTACGGGGAATCAAACTCACGACCTCAAGCTTGCCAGGCAGGTGCTGTGCTGCGAAGCTAAATCCCCAGCCTCAACACACACTTTAATACAGCATACTAGAATTTTACCATGTAATCATCTATTCAAAAGATATCCAAAATGTTTAGTGTATTCTAACCTTTGCTGTAAAAGCTGAGACACAGTTTTGGAATCATAACTATTACTGTAATTGCAATATGTAGGTATTATTTCATGTTATCCATTTTGCATGTAGCAAATAGATACATGAATCTATTTGAATCTAAATGGTTTTAAGTTTGTGGTAAATTCTCATTGTTGATATTCATTCAAAAACAACATTATTTGTATTCGTAGTGAACACAGGCGGCCGTATATTTCACTGTTAATTACAGTACGTGATACCCACCCAATGCTATAAACTCTTTGAAGACAGATGCAACATATTTGTCATTATTTTATATCTGCTGAGCTATACAGCACAGTGCTTTCCAAGAAATTATCATTAAATAATATTAATTTATTTGATATTAAAGTAATTAAAATTGGTATTCAGAAACTGATACTCAATTCAAAAAAGCTTTCACTATTCAATAAATGATCAGCTGTGCTTTCCACAGACCTTATAAAAGATGCAAAATTGGAATAATTATGTTTAGAAATATTGTTCAACAAAATTAATAGACTCCCATAAACAGAAAGTCTGGCTAATCAGAATACTTTTCTCACCAAACATTCTAATCTTTGGAGTCGTTCCTATAGATTGTTCAATTTAGGAAATATTTTTATCTCAGTAAGCCTTCCATTTGTATTTATGTCTGATTCAAAGTATCTAGAATCAATAGTGTATTCCTCATAACTTTTATCTTGAAAGACAGGCTTGATATCTAAAGAATTAGTTTGAACAAACGCGTAGAAATCATTTGTAGTTCTCTTCATGAAGCCGTCACTGAATGCCTCACAACTTCCATTTGTCAATCGATTTTACAATCAAGCAATATATACAAGACAATGCTTAAGCCATCAAGTTTCATTGATTTCACAAAGCTGTTTATCAAAACAGAATTGAAAAATCTTCCTTAACAGCCAAAATAAGCTTAACAGAATTCAGCCCTTTGCCAACATTATTATAAACTCTCTAAACTATAAGCTTACAATATGTTCCTCTTCAGAACCCTAAATTTACATGTGCTCCCTAGGGTTTCATTCCAAGTGTAACTCCCGGAATGAGGCTGTATGTAAAGCCTTAATAAAATCACCAATTATTCTATTTAGTATTGATTCAGTTACAAATGCAGCTATCCTTCCAAAAGGCACAGGCCTTTTATTCTTATTAAGATTTACATCCAACAGTAAGTGAACTCCATAGTCCTCATTCAGTAAAAAAAAATCAAGATTTAGGAGTTTGCAGCAATATAAAATGTTTCTTAACATAATTATTCATTTCATTCATTCTGAAAAGAGAAGCAAATGAAGAAATGTTATCCATATAAATACTAAAAAATCAATTTCTGCCTCCAGGCATTGCTATGGCTATGAAACCAGTACTCAATTTGCTTACAAAGGAAAAAATAAAGTCGGGGGGGGGGAAATAACTAAATCAAATTTCTGCCTAACATTCCAATCAAAGTAGTTATCAGGAAATACAAATAATGAAGTGTATAATTATTCCTTTAACCTCTTATTCACCTAGTATCAAGGAAAGTATTTGTTGATAAAATCTGT